GTTATAAGCCGCAAAGCTAACTTTTACCAATTTTTTCCAATTTGATAACAGAGGGCAATTTATCAAGATCGTCAAAAGATCGTCAGTGAAACAATTATAAAGTTTGCAAATGAATTATACAAAGATAATTGTTTATTTCTAGAGATGTAGTTAAAAAACATTAAATAGCAAATATGGAACTTTTTTTTTCATCCTGCCTATTTTTTTTATCTCAGCTACATGTAAGCTATACCAGTACATAAGCCACATGCCAAACTCACAAGGAAAAAAGTGTTTCTTATATCAAGAAATAGGTTGGCAATTCAAAGATACCTAGTCATATCACTTAGATATTTTCACAACTGAATTGTGAAATTCCCTTTTTTCTCAATATACATGAAATCATGGATTCAAGTTTGTGATGATATATGTACCTCATGATTCAGTGTCTTGGTTCATTGATGAAGTCATCTCAATCCGATCCCTTAGTGTACCAAGGTGTGAAATTTGAGTACAGGTGCATCACAAGAAATGCATATGCTGTCATGGCAAGAGGCTCAATATACACATTTATACCTATGTCAAGGTATAACATCAAAGGAATGTCCGCAAGTGGACATGGGGTTAACTTCAACCTGAAGTTAGTTTTTGTCAGTTTATTGACATATTATTTATTTTTGTGAGACTTGGAAGGGACAGATCTCCCTGTAAAACATTCCTAAATTGGCTTGTACATTTACCACTTGTTAACTTCCTAAAATCTCTTGATTGCACGAAGCATGAAAATAAGGAAATGACCTCCTCCCAATACATCTAATCGATGCAACAATTCAAGGCAAATTATGTCACAAATATTGCATAATTATTCATATTAATTCCAGCTGTCATAACTGAAGCTCAGAACACAAGTTGCTGCTCATGACGAGTTTGCATTTTTTTGTACAGATGTGTTTTAAATTCCAATTGTATATCTCCATTTTTAAATAAACGTGTGGGTGCACATTTGTTTATTAATTAAGGGTTAATCATATTTTCTAGAGATCAATTAGATAATAAAAAGTATATTTACAGTCACAAGTTAAAGGAATTATGAAAGGCTGATTAATTAAGATACATTCACATGTGTTTGTACACATCCATACATTACATTGTTCCTCTACGCAAAAGGAACTCATTTCATATTTGAAATTGTAATTGTTATTTCTATATGTGCATAGCACTTTAAAAATGACCTTCACAAGCAAGTGTCCATGGAATATATCACATAAGTAAAGGTCAAAATCTCTCAAAAATGTGCAGTGGAAATCCAGTATATTTCTATAGGGCTGTTTTGACAGCATTAGACTTGTGATGTTACAGATGTTGGCAACCCATATTGAAGCGATCGCTATCAAGCCAAAGGTGTGCAATTCAAATGACTCACAATATCTGGTAAACAGGGCTAAGACATTCACATTTTCTTGATTTTCTTTTATTGTATAATATGTTGAATTTTCTGGCTAGATATAGCAATTGTGCAGGGTACACTTTAAGCTCAAAGGTCTGATGAAAGCCCTGCTGCTGTTTCCAGAGGTGATGCTACATAAACCAGTAAATTTGTTCAAGAGGTGTTTCATGAACCTGAGGCCAATCCTTTTTTTGTTTATATAGTAAAGTCATCTTATATCAGGCACACTCTGAACTTCCTCTAATTGGTGTAATTGATGTAAGGAAGTTATAATCAGGGGTCCTCAGTTCAATTTCCACATCAAACATGTCATTTCCACCAAACTAGTGTGCCACCAAGATTAAAATATCACACATGGACCTCTCATATGTTATCATGTAGTTAACTTGAAAATCTTGTTCTCAATATATATCTTCATAAACAAATATCCTCATGGCCACTATCGCTCACCTAGATATTTAAGCACTGATAGTAAAATGTTTGTGATCAATGTAATATTATATGCAGCATGTCCTCATTTTGGCCAAGATCTTGGTTGATGTGTACATCAGTCCTTGATAAAACCACATGGTCAGGTCTTCGAATAGAGGTCAGTAAGGTTATTTTTTATATTCAAGTTCTTGTTTCTCGAGTTCAGCAACGGTATGTATTTATATTTAATAGAAGATTATCTTGAAATAATAACAAACATTTCATGAGCTTGACCCTGAAGCTGATCCTCGAAGCAAGGTTGCCAATGTTGCTTTCAACTCTGATGCCAAGTAAAGTACACAAAGTTCCATGACTCTAAAACACTGCAGGCCAAAAGAATAGTCTCTTTACTGAATGAAAATAAATTTTAAGGTGTGTATTTCAATAAAGTTGAAAATCACATTTATTCCCACTCCCACAGTGCCCACAGCCTTTGTGTATAGGTAGCGAAATTTTTAAGAAACAAGTTTTTGATAAATAAGTTTTTTGATATCTGAGACGACTCGCATTACACCATTGCTTACATTCACATGACTGCTAATAGTCAAGTCAGGAGAGCTGAGGAAGTAATGTTTCATCATAATCACAACTTAATTCTCTGTTTTACATGAACACATTTTGCAACTTAATTGGTCTCATTGAACATCAAGCTTTTCATTTGAATTAAGATACCAAACAAGACATTTTTGACAAGTTCCAAATATTCAATTGAAATGAACCATATTGATTAACAAATTTTAGGTCTTTCAATGGAAATGCTAATAAACTGTTCAATTTAGGTATTACAAATCAGGTGATAAATTCCGGTCATTTGAAACTATTAATGATAATGGTAACAGAACAAAATCATGCAAGGTTCATTCTGATATAAGGTTCAGAAGGTGGTTGATTCTAAGCATGAGATTTGCGGGATTCATTTATTTAGATATCTTTAAAGATAGACTGTAAGCTACAATCCCCACACCAACTGCTAGCAGTCACTAACTTTCAAATACTAAAAAAACTAAAGCTAATACCAACCCCCTCCCTCCTGTCACAGCTGACTTACCCTCACCCATCCCTCTCCCCTATCCCTACATGATTTGTTAACAGTGTTTTTCCTGCCGATATAAAAATGAATTGGAGAATGTCCCATTCCCAAAGTATATCCGACACTTCTGACATTAGTTAGTCTAGTGGCACTTGTTAGTCTGCTTTCTAGGTTGTTGAAAAGCATAAGCAAATGGAAGCATCTGAAAGTCTTTTGATTAGAAAAAATTACAATTTTCTAAAATCCAGTAATTAATTCTCAACAAAAAAATCTGAAAAATTTGGGACAATGTAATCCAAAAGTAAATGCACACAGCAAAAAAATGAGAAGGCGAAAACAATGTTTTATCTTTCAAATTTATCAGGGTTTTAGTTCTCTTGCACCTGAGCAAACCTCTTGATTAGAGTTTGGGAATTGAAGTTAGTGACAGGACTGAATTATCTTCCTTGCAATATGAAATGGCCATCAAATGTTGCCGTTGTGCATTTTTCATCATGCCTACTTTTACTTGATTATTGAGAGTTACAACTTCATTAAATAGTACCAGAATATATCATTTCATTCATTTTCAACATATGTTCAAAATCAAGAATAATTTTGAATGTTAATTTAATATTATTTTTGGCTGTTTAAACATACTGGTACCACAGGAGCAATTATGCATGTAACTTAACAGTATATCTAGATGTACATTTACGTTGGTTATTGTCTGTAAGATGCTAATACAGTAATGCAGATGAAAATGCTGTTCAAAACATCTATCAATCAATACTTTCCTTCAACTTAAGATTTTTTTATCAATGGAGAACAAATCCTACTTTCTATTTACACATAATATATCAGTATACTGTATCTTTGCTTTGTTTCAGTCAAAATCCTCAGTTTCATTAAGTATAAAAATATATGCAATATTTTATCACATTACCATTAAAACTGCTGAAGACCTTTCTATATCAATTAAATAAATTCATAAATACCTTTTGATGCTCTCTGGCAATATATATCAGTATACAAAACATTGAAAGTATATATTTCACAAAATTTCTTAATCTAAGAATGCAATATAATTTTCTTTAACATGAAAAAGTTTTTGGTTAATTAAATTTTTGAACTGATAATTGAGTTTTAGCAATACTTATGTTATAAGGAAACCAAAGCAAAAGATAAACTACAGCAAAATATCTGAAATATGTACCAAACTTCTGAATTGTTATACTGTTATGCTTACTGCATGACATTGTATTATGCATATGTAAGTCCAAATTATGAAACTCTAATGTCTATTTTAATCAATGTTTACACCATATACATTTAACAACTCCACAAAATAAATCCCATAACTGCCTAAAATTTTCTAAAATACCCAGGAAAAACACTGTATCATGTGTTAGGATAAAAAGTGCATAGAAATCTCTCACCAAGCAATATTAAAAAATAAAAAAAATACAATAAAAGCTTGGAAAGGTGTCCTGTAGGGATATGGTTTACATTATTGCCATAACTACCATAAAAATATGTGAACTGAAACAAATGTGCAGGTGCCCACTTTCTACATGTGCTTACAAAATTTCTCGGACAAGATTCAGTCTTCAATCATAGTAAAAGGGGCATAACTGCAGTAAAAATAGGTTGATGAAAAAATAAGCTCAGTTGCTTTTACTTAATTGTCTGATGACATCATCATTTATGTTTCATAAAATTGTGATTAAAAAAACCATAGGTTTACAAGATAAGGGTGTAATTAAATCCACTACAGCACTCCTACCAAATGGTCAGTTCTATAATGTGGGCAAAGTAAGTTTCTAAAGTATTGAAAAGGTAAATCTTCAAAGATACAGAACTCCCAAGAAAATCACAACAAAAGAGTACAAAATAAATGATGAAATATTAGAAAGCTGACAGTGATAGCATTTCTCCATGAAAGTTTTAATTTATTAATAGAAAAAGCTTGGAAACTCAGAATCATTTAAAAATTATAAACACAGAATACCAGAGTTAGCATTTCAGTATTTAGTTTAATGCAAAGTATGTTCATTGCAAAAGAAATTCAGAATATACACAGGAAATACATACCTTTCGATATAGTTAATGCAGGTGACCACTGTGACCTTAAGATATCCAAACAAATACTGCCATTGCTGTTTATATTAGGGTGGTATATTCTTGTTGTAAAGGCAACCTAATGAACATAAAATTTTAAGATTATTGCACTTTATTTAAAAATGGTTTTAAAAAGTAAAATGAAGATGTCCATGAGAGTTAAAACAACTTGTTTTTCACTGATGTTCTAATTTACTCTGATTATGTTTTTAATCATGTAATCCGTTCTTACTTGTTATATGTAATAATTATATTTCAATTATCAAGTGGTGCTTTTTATTACCTTGCAATTAATGGAAATCAAGTTAAACTTCTACTCTATTAATCAGGCATTCAGCATGTAACTTACCTTTGGTGGTTTGAATGGATAATCTGTTGGAAAATGTATTGTGAGGAAAAATACACCACCTTGAAATGGACTGTCCGACTGCCATGAAAAGAAAGTCAATTGTAAGGTGTTTTTTGTAGTCTCATTGACATTGAAATATATCAACAAACTTGTGACAAAAAATAGAGAACCTAGAGGAATCTTGGCACCCATTATCGTTTGATCTTTGTTCTTTGAAAGTTTCAGACTTTTTCCATCTTTTCTCTTCCTTCTTGTTTCTGCTCTTAACTATATGAAATCTGAAAATTCTATTAAGAATTATTTAAATAATCTTTAACTGCCAAATTCAAGATGTTGTCTGTCCATTATTTTGTTTTCTTTTTATATCAGTCTTGTAGTCTGTCCTCAATTTTATTTTTTCAAGTTAGTCTCAATTTATGAAGGGCAAATACAAATAGAGATGAAGGGGAGCATACATATGAAATTTGAGAAATATCTATACTGCAATTCTCAAAAAATAGCGATAAAGAACTTTCTTAGTCAAAATCCAAGATGACCATTTGTCAGTAATTCAGTTTGTTTTAATAATCAGTCTGCACAAAAGGGCACAACTTCAGACCAAAGGGGACCAAAAGATCCCTATTGCTCATGTACTATAGAAATAACAAACAAGAGTTCCGCAAGCGTTACAAAATATGCCCTTACTAAGTTGAGCAGTAATTGAGCAGAAACATTTTTGTAATAAACCTTCATATGAAGTTTCAAATTAATAAATGAAAAATTACTCAAGTTATTGAGGGGAAATCTATTTTGCAAATGTACCAAGGGCCATAGCTCTGTAAATAAAAAATTTTGTTTATCAAACTTGACCTAGCTTTTATGGGAATAAACCTTCATGTTAAGTTTCAAATGAACCTGTAAAAAATTATTCAAGTTATCGAACGGAAACCTGTGCACAGCCGCCCGTGTGAAAAAATATGTCCCATCTTTCAACGGGCGTATAAAAACTATCATTATTTTAAACCCAAAAATATCACATCAAAACTACATAACTCAATAAACAACGGTCACATTATAACCTGGTTAATTATGACACACAAAAAGAAAATATGCAACAATTTCACCTCAAATCGAAACATATTCCCAGTCATTATATCCCCACTTTCTTCATTAAAGGTATATAACAACACCTTGAACACTTACCGGGCCCATTATTGTTGCTTGCCAGTGAAATACTGAAATTAGAAAAAGATATCCATTAAAACAAGCCTTATTCTGATTTGGTTTGATGTCAAGGATAGAACAGCTGGCATCCTGAATACTACTGTAAATGCATGTTCATTATAAGTTTATGTTTTAGTGTTATGAAACTTAAAAAAGGCAACCTCTAAATGAAAGATTTCATAAACATCTGATGAAGCAAACAATTCACAAGTACTGTATTAAAGCTAAGTTAAATACCAACGTTTATTTGTATCACAATAGCCAAGGGTTTTCTCCTCTACTAGCATTACTCACAATCATCTCCAACTGGACCAGCAGAACATTGTGCAGGTGGATCTCTGCCAAGGTCTTGTAATTCCTTCAAAATGAAACAAAAAATCCAACTGCTGCATAAATAGTCTTTTACTTATATGAATATGACGTTTCACTAAAGTGCAATATTACAAGAATAACTCTTGACATGGTTTGATTATCCATATTTTTTGGATGAAAAAAAAAAATCAACCAGATATTTCTAATTTACAACAGTCTGTATTTGCATTTAATAACATATATATAGTAGCTATTGCGATCAATGGGGATTTCAGCCCCTGGTTCCTAATAAAGTACCAAGGATAATGATATGTAAAATAAATTTGGAATATGTCTTTTAAACTTTACCATTTGACTGCAGTGAGGTATTTTTCATTCTGAGAATATTTTTTATAGCTGAAACATTTGCTTTTTTTTTCTGCCTCTCAGATATATATTCAATTGATGCACTGTCACTTGCCCCCAATATCTTTAGACATATTGACAAGAGTTATCTCTTTTTAACTTTTTAATTTGACAGAAATATTAAATATTGTTCAGCTTCTATAAATCAACCAAATACAGTTAGAGAGTGATGCTTTATTTCAGCCATGAGCTTGTTCCATTTTGTCATGAATCAATTACACAACAGAATATCAACAGATCCAAGTTAAATAATGATTCATTGTGTATGTTATTAAGATCAATTCCTTTAAACATATGTGATCTTTGCTTGCTTGCATGGTATTGGTGTTGGGCTATCAAATGTGAATAGTCTGAGACCGGGGCATTTTGATGTCTCCATGTAGTAGCTGGTGGCCACCTTTACTGAAGTACATGTGGAAGGCCCATGGCATGCTGTTCAGAGCAATTAGGGTGAATGTCTTGACCAAGCATACAATTAAATAAGAAAAGGCTCAGACTAGTCAGCTTCCTGTGAAACATAAACCGCCACGGGTGTGGAGAGTCAAATTATGCATCTTTACCTGAGGTTGTGTAAATCAGTGTTCTAACTGAATGAGTTATCGTACCAATGATCTACAAAATATACTTACGAAGTTGACTAAACTGCAACATCTAATCCTCTAAAATGTGTTTTCGGCTGTATTGTATGTTTAATAACATAGAAAAACTAATGAACTTCAATCTGAATGTAGCTGGTCTTCAATGGTAACCACTTTAATATACACAGAACATGCAAACATTGCTGTGGATCACTCAAGTACAATAAAAGTTGTCTTCCGATAAAATATGAAAGATCTACTCAAATATTTTGAATTTAAATTATTTGATCTCACAATTTCTTCATTTTCAATTCCCATTTCGTGATTTGTATGTTGTTAATATAAAATCCTAGAAAATGGTTACCTTTTTTCTTTCAAAGAGCTGAAGCTGTCTTTCATGACAATACCCAATACATCACTGCTGTTTACAGTCAGCAATTATATTTAAATATTAGTTTTAAACAAGCATATAAAACCTAAAGAGAATAGCAACTGTTTGCATGCCATTGGATCACTCTTCTGAGCAACTTTCACATTCTAATATAACATGGGACAGGAAATTGTTGTAACCAAATTCTCAGGAGGAAATCACTTGACCTAAATTTAGGTTAGAGTCTTATTAATATTTGACAAATATTTCATCAAAAGAAGTCAGATACAAAATATTTTATTTTATATTTTTTGTATTAGATTTTTATCTATATAAGAAATTATTTGACTTTAAATTACTTGGTGACACAAAATGGATTCTAGGTTTTGTATATTGTAGTTAAATATGGCACAGAAAGAACACTTTTCCTATCTGGCCGGAGCAAACTCCATCTTTGCTAATGGATCAGTGCAAGACAGTTCCTCATTTAAGGATGATCTCAACCTGTTGAGGACGAACTTTAAAAAAAGAGATTCATTTGTTATATCACTTTGTTAATTCCTTTGAGTTGTAATCTGCTTGCAATAACAAAATGGGGAAAAGCAAGTGTATCCCATGTGTATTAAATCATTTTCAAGGAAATATTCCGCTGAAAATCAACACCCAACTTTCTTTTTCGAATATTGCTAATATTACATACATAAAACGAAAATCAAATCGACAATGTAAAATTGAGGTGTAAAGTAATTTCAAATATATAACTTTGAAAATATTAACAATTTAAAAAGCAATGACCGGGCGTACGTATCTCTGTTTACATGTTTAGATGGACAGCCTTTGAATATAGTACAATTTGGCCATATCCGACTTCACTACCGAGCATACTTATATGTTAAATTTTCCATCATGGCGGCCGACAAAATATTACTGCTTTGCGACAGAAAATGTACGTGTTAAGAGCTTTATTGTCTGTATGTACATATTGAAAACGAAGTATAGATTAACGGTTGACCTTCTTACCTTTGTGATTCGTTTTAATGCCATGTCTGAATACTGTTTTGAAGTACAATAACCTGAATTCGATGAGCAGAAAACTGGTTTCCTTACTCGTTCTCTAGTTGAACCGGATGTATTCATTACGCATGTATAAAATACCGAAGATAGCGCCATCTGTGTGCAGGGATTGAATACTTAGCAACATAACAAGCACCTGCTACATTTCCCCGCGAAATTATTGGCATGAGCAAGGTAATGATAATGACACTTAAAAAGAAAAAACAATCATACACACCAAAATATAATCATGACATTATACAGCTATGCATGATTAAAAGTAACACATATACTAGTCGTAATGGATTACCCAAGCTAATACTCCGAAATACAGCATAACTGGAACTGTACACGTATCGGTATTTCTTTTTAAAAATAAAATCTTTCTAAAACATTCATTAATCGCAGTCCGGAAATCGTCCCTGAATTTACCAACACTGAAACAAAGAGGAAGACTTACACATGTACTTACATTTTCTGAAGACTCTGTCATTTTGTAATTAGTTAAATTATAATCAATACATTTGTTTAGTAAAATACCGGGACATACCACATCATAATTGTTTGTGATACTTTTTTCTTAGTATTCTTACTTCATTAACAGGTGCCATTTGTGTGTGTGTGGGGGGGGGGGGGGGTATTATAATTGTTTTTGTTATTATTACTATATCATTAAAAATTGCATTCAAACAAAGGCTTGTTTATCTTTAATTATTCTTTGACAATGCAATAAACCCGTGTTTGTGTGTGTGACAAAAGAGAGTCAGTCCCTGCATCGTAATAAGCCATCAGACAGGGACAAAGTATCCTCGGGTCTCGGTAGATTTCCATGTCAGTACGTGGAACAATCAAATCTTCATAGGATTACATTCCAAGTATTGAAACTAATCACACAGCAAATTTTGGGATGGACGGTGATATATGAGGTGTGTATGTGTGTGTATGACCAGTGCGTACACTAGTTATGCGTTATCGACATTGCGCACACGTACATCCGTACAGTATGATAATAAGCAAAGCCAAGATGGCAGCCTTTCCAGAATGTTCCTTGTACCAAGTCGATCTTAACATATAATTTCTCGAAACTTGAAACTGAACTATTGGTTCACACTAGTCTTCTCTTCTCGGAAACCGATATAAAACTTCGGTTTTTCTTTAACATTTCTCCGATTGAAGACATTAGTCAGCCAAAGATAGCAATGATATGTTTGGACCGAAAACCGCTACGATAAGTACGTATAGCGGAGAGACAGGAAGGGAATAGTGATAACTTCTGTATTTGTTTCAAAGCCATTTTTCATTTTCGGATATTTAAGAATAGTGTATCCTCTTTCCAACAGAATAGTCTGACGACACCATAACACACAGAGTTTTATTTCCGGGCTGTATGACACATCATACGTGTATAGGTGTGATGTTATATCAACTACGACTGCCCATACAGCTCAGATCGCGTCTCTCACGTACATAAACTGGAAGTTAATTAATCTGCAACGTCACACAGACATTGATTTTTTTTTAATCCATGGATAATAACATGGTTCTACTTTCGCTTTCTTCAAATAATTTCGCAGTATATGAGATATGGTTTATTGACATTGGTAAAAAAAATATTCAATAAATATATTGATGTAAATACAAAAATACCGTTTATGAACGATATGCTCCCAGAGAAGGTTTTTCTTGTTTTTATTACAAAGACGTTGACTATGATTGTGCAAAATAGACGTCTCCAACATCAGCATCAAACAGTATTTTATCAATATGTATAAAAAACGTTATTATGTTAAAATCTCAAAATGTATGCCTCTGGCTATCAAGTATAGTTACTTTCTAAAAACATTGATATACAACTTTGATATTGATAATGAAAATATCAACAGTTCAGTGTCCGGTTCGATATATGAACATTTATATATGTGTGTGTGTGGTAATGTTATGTTGACATATTATTTTAATATATGAGCTATATGCATTTGTTATTGTTTTAATATTATCGTTAAGCGTTCGCGTATCAGAACCGGAAGTCAGCCTTTCGTATTATTCGGTACGTGGCGCATTGCGACATGGATTTTAGCGCGCGCACGAGTATGGCACGTGAAAGTGAGAGTGGAGCGCGAGACGGATGTGACGTTTGTATTTGTGAACCAGTTTGTCCAGTATGTCTTGTCTATTATTAGTATATTTTACGGGAGATGTTGGATGATCTATGAGCGCACTGGTCATTTTGGGCAGAGCAGCCGATGCGGCACCATCAACCAGTTACCTAGAGTCATAATTGCTATTTGTGGGACACTAGCTGTAGGAGTAATGTAAGTACCAGATACTTAGTATGTAACTATAAGTATAATTTAATATAGTATCTATTTAATAATATATTTAATTTACGTAATAGTTTTGTTTAAAGTAAAAGTAAATGTTTTCGGAATCGAGTAAATTCAAATATCGGATGTGGTCAAGTTAAATTTTGTAATACGCGTATAGGTCTATAGTTTTAAAGAAGAAGACTTTTAATGTGTATCGTACTTTCCTTTTGTATAGTGTAAGCTTCGAGCCAGAGTTGGTGCTCGGCGGACTTCGTCCGGAAAAAACCCTCTTCGCATTGAAGAGGTGTGTATTTTATAGGTGTGTATTAATGTCTCATATTATATATGCGTTAATATCTCATTATTAAGCTGTAATTTCTATATAATTTATAGGAATATAGTTTACAGTGTAATTGTTCAATTAGTTTTTTATACTGTAACTGACTACGGTCAGGATGACATTAATTGATCATGTGATATTCTTAGTGTGTAATAGGTGTGATTCGTAGTAATATGTGTTGTATCTGTTGCATGGTATTTTTTATTACTCTCTGTGAAAATAAACGCTTAAACGAACCCTCGGAGTTGTGGTTTTTCGTTGCGAAGAAACACGACTACTACAGATATGCATATAAATTAGTTGCGTCGTCTTTTAGGCAATAATGGCACATAATTTCAGTTCACGGATTTTTTTTCCAAAGTCCAATCACTGTATAGGTAAACACACTTCCCATACTCTGTGGTTACATTCTTTCATTTCTCCGTAAATTAACTGAGAACCGATTACAGCATTTGATTAATTTCATTATTCGACATTTCCTAATAATATAAACAGTCAGGTGTCCTAATTCCGAGTATACCATTAAAGATGGCGAACTGTTTCTTACATTCGGGATTCTTCTTTAAAAATCAACACGTACTTTTTCTATTATGCCCGCGGCATTAAAACCCTATGTTTCGCCACGAAGAACAGGAGAAACATATATATCAAAAACATTGAGTTTCGATTCTACATTGAGTGACAAATTATTACAAGTTCTTACTAATTGGATACATTTTACACCCTTGTCGACCTTGTTCAGCAATTGTGAATTTAGTTTGTTGTAAACTTACCATTAAAATTAAGCAATACACCATATTCGTTAGATATGTCAATAAATTCTATTAAAATCAAATTAAAGCCATTAAAATAGAATTTTTCACAGCCTCGTTATCTTTCACTATTTCGAAATACAACAAATTTTGTTTTCTCTATATTACCTGTCAGACCCCAATTATCACTATAATATTTTAAAGAGTCTAACATTTTCTGTAAACCAGAATCAGGTTCTGAGAGGAGGACAGTATCATCTGCATACAGGAGGAGAAACAAAGAAATATCTTTATATTGATATTTTAAAAATAACGAGTCACAGGAAGTATTTATAAGTTCATTTTCAATGTCATTCACATACATAGAATAAAGGAAGGGGGATGACCCCTCCCCTTGTATCAGGCCTCGTGACCATGTAAATAAATCAGAAAATTCAATTTATACCTAACACAAGACGTTAAACCTTCATTTAAAGATTTTACAATATTCAATAGTTTTCCTCTGACTCCATTATGAAAAAAAATCAAAAACAATTTATTTCTTTTCACACTTGTAAAGGCCTTACGATAGTCAACAAAACAGCAGTAAAGCTTACAATTATTAGAAAGCATTTTCTTCTTTAAACTATGTAAAGCAAACATAGCACTATTAGTTCCAAAACCAGGCATAAACCCGAACTGGGCATTGGTAACAATGTTGTAACATTCTAGTTGTCTATTATTTTAAACGGAACTAAATTATTTATATAAACAACTTATCAAAGTGATTCCTCTGTGATTATCTGTATCATTGGCGTCTTTTTGAACAAAGGGGAAAAGATACCCCTTGACTAGGATGATGGAAATTATCCTCAAACCAGCTTATGAACACGCTGCTTTATTTTATAGTAAGATGGACGAGTAGGAAATGATCTACAACATAGGAAAAATATATCATTTATAACAGATGAAAAAAGATCCATACCGTGATCTATCGAGATCGCCGAGGACTGCATGTCATTTACAATATCATGTATACATAAAAAGTATCATCTACAGTCGTACTAAATATCAGGTTCAATTTAAAATCACCTGGAGTATAGTAAGACCATTAATTAAATCCAATAAGCATACCAAAGGAATCTCTTTGTATGAGAACATAATAAATAACACTGGACCCCAAATTATTATAAAAAAAGTATACGGTACTTTTTGTAGACCACCAAACTGTCCCGTTATTACGTGTGAAGTGAAAGCTGGTATTTCCTAGGGCTCCATTCTTGGGCCTCTTTTGTTCTGAATTTTTATCAATGATATTACTCAAGATATAAAAGTTATGATAGAATTATTCGCAGACGACACCTCCTTGTACGCCATTACCGATTCCCCAAGAATCAGTGCCGACATTTTGAATAACGACCTTAGTAAAGTCCATGATTGGTCCAAGAAGTGGTTGGTAAATTTTAACCCTGCTAAAACTGAAATTGTTTTGATAAGTAGGAAATCTATAACCCCTCTCCATCCCCTCACTTATCATGAATAATACAGTTATTGCAGAAGTTGCTTCACATAAACATCTTGGCCTGTTATTGCCAGGGAATGATTGTGGGAACATGTTAACTATATGAAATCTCACCCAAAAATAACATTTTGAGGAAACTTGGCACACGTGATCAAACTTATT